CTGTATAGCGCATGAGTAGCTAAGTAACAGAGGCTAAACTTTAATATTAATATGGTACATATATATTAATTGCAATTTGTACTAAAAGTAGGTATCTATTTTCTGATTAGAGATCACCACTGAATATTAATCAAATTGCATTAAAAAAAACATTGATAAAAAATTTACAGTTGAGAAAAGTCGTTACTGGTACCTATTGTGCTGTTATAGAACTTTTGCTTGCATCTATAATTTAAAAAAAAACGTAAGTTATTTTAGCTGATTTAAAAAATCACATGACTTTTATTCTGAGGAACGGCACACGTAAGTAGTTAATGAACAGAAAATTTTATATCATGGCCTTCAATCCTTTGTACCTCCATTCTAGTTAAACCTCTGGTATTAACTTACTCATGTGAAATTTTACTGCGTAAAGCAAACGTGCTAGTTATGTGCTTGACGGTTTGATGCTAAAATTAGGTGCTGTACTAGGTGTAAACACTACCTTAGGTATAACGTTTAAAATAAATTCGTAACGGTGTTTTGTAGAGAAATTCTTTGATTTACTGCAAAATAATGGATGCTAAATTATTTTAAGAACATCAAGGAAGACACAGATTATATACAAAGCCGGGAAAGACTTAACGGCTCCGGCTCGAAGTGCAGGAGTAAGAATGGGGTGGTTTTTAGTCAGTAAGAGTCTGACAATCCCTCTCGCCTCACCCGGGAGAAGAAATTGGATGATATTTCCCCCTCAAAATAAAAAAGATTATACAAATACCAAACCTACCTTAGAAAGTTCTGGTTAGCTCTGATATGATTTTTATTTAAAAGTTGATACAGACAGAGTACTATTCGATTATCTTACAAGCTTAAACATTTAGCAATGGTACAAAGTCTAGAACTTTACATAGAGTTTGTTAGCACTCGTCTAAAACGAGGTTTATGATTTAGGTACCAAAATGTAAACCAGTAATTATCAACGCTAAAATTACACCAATAAAATGGAACTTGAAAGACGCTAAAACAGTCTAGATTTGACAGAAACACTATAGATTAGTTCTAAATAAAGAACCATAAATCGATTTAAATCATTCAAAAGATTTTTTAATTACTCCTCTATTATTACCCCTCCCAGTCCAGGCGGGAGAAGGCATTCGATGATTTTCCCCCCTTAAAAAAAACCCCTCCCCAGTCTCCTCAATCCCCGAATCCCCCACAATCCTCAAATATCCAATTCCCAAAAGGCCGGTAATGCACTTGTAACGCCTCTGGTGTTTTAGATGTCCATGGACGACGCCGGTTGCTTACCATTGCCGATTGCTCGTTTAACGGCTTATCCCATAAAAAAAATTATGAATGTGTGCCGATCAAAGACTCAGGACAGCACAATAATATTTCCTCTTAAAATCTAAATGGGAATTCAAGGTAACTGCAATACATCTGCAGTCTATAACAAAGTGAACTAAAGATAAATAATGTAACATAACTTGTCTAGGAGTGTTAATAAAACCTGAGTTATTTCAGCTTGCAATTGTTAAACTAAATTGTTATTCTGAATCCGATTAATACTAACAAATAATCTAGTTATAGATTTGCGTCATCCTAGTCTAGATGAGCCATTGAAACATTTGGTTTCTCTCGTTGACTGACTTCAGTTTGTATGTGAATGTTTGTTCGTGGTTATCTCGCGACTAGCTTAACCGATTTTGATGCGGTTTATCAGAAAAGTGTTTGTTAAGTTTAGGTGGTTTTAATATACATTTAACTGACTTTATAATTAACCTACTTCAAAAAAAGGAATTCGGTAATGAAGTCGGTGTTTTTAAATATAGTTTATACAGTTATAATGAAGATTTGTTTTAATAATACAATACATGATCTTGAAATTTGTATTTCTTTGATCTGCTTATAGTAAATTTTGTACATCTAATCGTGATAGCTTGAGCACTAATATTCAACGTAAGTAAGTCGTTTAAATATTATTTTAATTGTCTATCCTATCCTTTGATTGTGATTTTACAAAGATTTTTACTAACTTATGGATTTTTGGAAATAATTATTACAATTTCCTTTCTTTCTAGTAAATCAAAGATCAAAGAATTCCTTGTATTTTCTAGAAACACTCTTATAATTTCATTTTTGTCTGAAATCGTTTGATTTTCTAAATGCATTTTAATATTTATTTATATTATACATTTACTACCTTCTGCCAGGATTCGCTCGCGTCCACGTGGTTTAAAAAGTAGCCAAAGAGTTAATCCAAACCATATTCTACCACTGTTCCAAGTTTAATTAATTTTCCTTCAGCCGTTTTTGCATGAAGGTGTAACGTAACATACAAACTTATAAACATACAAACAACGAATTTTGTTTATATAGAAAAAATACACTTTTTCTGCCAGTTTGTACACTTAACTCGTCGAGTACCGGTTTTATAGACACAATTAAAGAACAATAGGTCGCGGTCACCGGTGACCGCTTGGTGTTTGACAGTTTAATTCCTGATTTAGGATGCAGATACTTAATGTCTCATCAATATACACTCAAAAATAACTTCGTCTGTCCTGATATAATACAGTAATTGCACTGTTTTGGTTCACTCTCAGGCCAAGTAGGGACGCGTGGCTAGATCAAAGCCAGCATTAACATATACCCTGACTCCGCATAAAGTAAGCTAAAAATATGCCGACAGATGTTTGTGTTACGTCAAAAATTTGTTTGAAGTTTTTTTAAGAGTCTATATTATAGTAACTGTAATATTTAATTGAGTCATATACCTTTTAGATGTAGATGTTTATGGAGTATATTGTAATTTAGTCGTTTTCACTATCATCTCTCAAATTAGGGAACCTTTTTTTTCTTTTTGGCACCGGAGTCTCCAATACAGTGTTGTCGACTATACTGCCAATGTCGAGTGGTGACGGTAGATTATTGGGCCGTCGAACTTAACTTTGTGGTAGTTTTAGTTGTTAGTAACTGAAAAGGACAAAACACTTCAGTTAGTAAACATAAATCACCAAACCACCACACTTACATTACATTGCCTAACATATAGTAGATAATTAGATAATCCATAAAAGAGAACTTTAGGGAACCTGTTAGCTAATGCCGGAATACTGAAACGTTACTCAATTTTAAGTCGTGCTCAAATATCGTGCCATCTCTGTCATTGTACAAAGAATTTGTAGAGATAGAACTATACTTAAGCACGACTTAAAATTGAATAGCGTTTCGGTATTCCGACATAAGATACCTATATTTATCTGTCACCTGACACGTAACATTATTTTTCTTTTCATCAACCTATAAATGAGACCTAACGGTACAAGTAAGGATTAAGTTTAGGAGCCATTACGCTAAGTGACAGTTCAGGGGCGGTCTGCCATAAATTACTTAGTTTGGACTCCAATATGAAAATATATCGATTTTCATTAAATACTTCATCATTTTATTATCTTATAGTTAACAATGCAATAAGAATGCTTTCTCCTTAATCACAAAGAAACGAAATGTATTGCCATATTAAAATATCTACCATCATAACAGTACCCGATAAAAAATATTGCAATCAAAATACCGCAGAACAATAAACTAAAATGCTATTATCAAATATTTTGTATTCATGATACCCTAAAAAGTAATAAGACCATGACATGACCCTCTGTCACCATTGACATAGAGAAGTCTATTAAATGTCATCAAGACTATTATTTCCAAAGAAAAAAATAATACAAACAAAATCCATAACAAAAATGCAGTACGACAATGAATTTTCAAGCGATTTTTTTACACTGTGCATTTTCAAATAACTCTTTGCTTTTATTAAATGAGATGGTATTTTAAGCTCTATGTGTTAGTAATAGGGTTTGTAATGAGTGTAATTTTATTGTTGTTTGGTAATTAATTGTTATTGCGCACGCGACGAAACCGCCCTAACTAAGGGGTTAACATCGCCCTCGAGTTAAGGGTTGTTGTGACGTACGATTACAACCCTCTCGATTATTGAACAATTCGTCATTCATGCTCGTTCGGACGCTGGTCTCAGTGAGATGACGTCACGATTTATTCTTTTTTTGTGATAAAATAGGACGCGTTGTAATATGGAAGTACACTTGGACTGATTTACATCTGATGGACGCACTGTGATGTGAATGACGTTTACAACACACCATTTATGGTGTTGGCACCGTTTTGTGTTTAAGCTAGAATAAAAATTTGTTGAACGAAAAATGTAATTGGTAAGTACCCATAAATTCTTATAAAAATGTAACAAATTTGTGTCTGTATACTTTTGTAGAGGAATGGAAATATGAGCAACCATATTTCAAAATAAAATTCAATCTTTAAAAATCCTAATACCGATAGCAACGGGATATTGTTTCCCACAGTCGGGATGACGCGTGGGGCGGCATGTTAAACGCAGGGATTGCGTCCAGTGGGCCACTGTCAAACGAGAGCTCACCGAGTTCACACGGCCGTCCATAACACATAAAAATCATCTGTTCCGTGCCGAAATATAGGAAATAATCGCGTAAACGAGGATAATGACGCGAGTAGGTGGGGCCGCTCCGAAGACGCCCCTCTAGCTTTTTTTTTCTCGACGTCTGGGCGGCGCGAAGAGAACGCCTCACGTCCCACGCGCGCAACGCACCGACATGCGCGACCGAACACGGGCGCTATACAAACCGACGGCAACGCGCCGACGGTACACCGACTAAAACGTAAACAAACAATAAAATGCGAATAAAAAACACGCGACAAACATACACTAAATACAAAAAAACGACGCGAGGACCCCTAGTTGCAGCGACATATAAATATCAACGAAGTTCATACAAAAAATTCTAAAACTCACGTTCTACATTCCAGTTTGAAGCAAACAATAACATTTGAACTTGTTTTCGGACATGTTTTGACGTTCAGTGACAGAAACAAACTAGTGTGTTGTGTCAATTTTCGCGGTAAAAGTGACAAGTTGTAACGATGAACCCGCGAAAAGAGGACCTAGTGTTGCCAACATGAAAAAACTTCGTGTTTTCATTGGAAATAACAGAATGCAAAGGACAGTTCATGCAGCGATACTTTTCTTATTGGTATTTTTGTTGAATATAGCGAGGTAAGTTATTTATTGAAACTCAAAAACATTATCTATTCCAAAATATAGACAATATTTAAATAATACCTACGCATTGAAAATGATATTAATGAAGCCAAACTACATTCAGAGACGAGCACGACATCTCATTAAAACATGGGGTAATAAAACAGCACAATAGCCACACACATGCACAAAGAAAATAAGCCAACAAGCTTCAAACAAATAGGGGTGCAATGAATACGAAACTAAAACATCAGACACCTAATCATGCAAAACGGCTCTAAGTAGACGGGCGACTAATGAATAATGATCTGCGCCACGTAATGTATGGTAATGAATGTAAATTTAAAAGGTGACAATCATTTTGTCGGCCCACCCAATAGTGCTGCGATTTACGTAGTATGTTAATGCGTCGATATGCCACTGCACGCGGTCGCATAATCGTAGGGCTGTTTGGTCCGTGATTGATATTCAGAGCCGCGGAATTAGCTGATACTGGATGAGCTTCTTTTGAAATGCGAACCGGTATTTGTTACTTTGAGATGTTTTTGTTGAAACTGTTGTTTTTGGTATAAATTGTTGTGTTTGGAGGGCGAATAATATTGTTATATTTGTGTTTAGTCTATTCAGGAGTTACTAATTGCGAAATGAAGGGTTCAGACAGTTAGTAAATCATTACTGAAAGTCATCTAGTATAAACGTACAAATATTTTCTACTAAACAAAAATAGTATAAGTTCTTAGTAAAATGTATTTAATATAAACGAGGCAATATTTCAATTGCCTTACCTAAATAAGAGTTAAAAATTCATCCAATTTCCATTAAAACTCTTCACTGCATTCTCAACTAAAACCACTCAAACCCGGACACCGTTCGAATTTCGAATTGGATTCGAATTGAAAGGTCAACAACCAATTACGTTCAATTAGTGCCGGACTATGAAACGGCAAATAGGTGGTACACAGATAAAATAGATACAAAATTTACTTTTTTATTTCCATTGCCAGCGTCGAAAATTGAATGGCTCCACGCCCGTTTATTTTAACCATACATTCTAGTTCAATCCGATTTTATTCACCGAATATCGTTTCACACACTCAAACTTGCTAATTCGAACGTAAATTCGTCAAAATGTTTTTATTGGCCATCATAAAAGGTGCGAAAATCTTACTAGCATGCAATTAGTACACTTTATCTGTTCAAATATCGTGAATAGAGAAATATATTTGAAAAGAATATTCTCAGATTTGCATGGTCGACTTTGAATTTCATGGTATTTTGAGAACATGTGAATTTTTATCGTTATTACTAAAATGTGTATCCGAACGTTATCGATTACCTCGCCTCATAAAATAACTCGGTGCATATGAACCAATAAGGTAGATAACAAAACAGCTTTTATTTTTTTTATATTTATAGTTCGATATTTAAAATTTATTTGATGGAAAGTGACATCTTTCCATCAAATAAATTTGCAAGTTCAAATGTAAAGAAAAACAATACATTTGTGAACCTTAACATTTCATTGACAAGATATTTACTTCAAGTTTTAAAATATTTAACTTAATAACTGCAGATATCAATAAATATAAAACAACAGTTACAATCTCATATGTGTTAATAGCTTGTCTCAAACATTATCATTTATATTTTATTGGTTATAATGTTATAAATCACACACATTTTTGGATCATGGAATTATTGAATAGTTGAGCCACTCCTGTGAAATATTTCTCACCATTTGTAGATAACTTTAATTCTTATAACTGCACATATTAACTAATATCAATGAAAACTAAAACAATAAATAGTATGGCGGCGGAGGAATTAATGATTGAATGCTAGAAATGTAATAATCACTATTTGAAATGTTGTTACGTTTAATTAGCTCGAAATAAGTTCATAAACCATTATTTGTTTAATGTGTAATCTAGTACGGTGTAAATATATTGTGAAAGTAATTCAATACCCACACTAGTTAGCCTCACGTTGGCCGAGTGGTCGCAATTGCAACTGCTGGGCCTGGGGTCTCGGGTTAGATTCCCGGGTCGAGTATTACTGGGTTTTAAAAAAAATCTGAGTAGTAGCACGGAGTCTGGATTTGTGCCCGGTATATGGCAATAGGCTCACCCCCTATTACATGGAACTCATAACATAAATAGTGAAAAGTGGGTGGTACATTGTACAGTGGTATAATGTGCACCTCTGTCTACCCCTTCGAGAATAAAAGGCGTGATGTCATGTTATGTTTGTTTGTTAGAAATTGTAAAAAAAGATTAGTCGCCAGAGTATAAATACCGCTACACACTCTTTGTTCTTGACCCATTTGTTAATTAAACCGTCATACTGTTCAGAGCTCTGATCATTGTAACTTGGTAAAATAAACCAAGTGAAACCTATTTTAAGTCTAACTGTTGTTCTGGACGAGGAATCTATAATTAATGGCCAGTTCCACAAAGATTGTGGCGTATATATGAATGACGTCATCATTAAAAGTAGTCCTCCTAAGACATATAACATACTAACTAAAATCCGTGAAATTTAAACTGATAAATGTTATATTATTATGATCTGAATTCTAATGTCTAATGAACAGACAAACCACTGTCCCATTCACAATGTAAATCCATCCAAAAGCTGTCTGTAAGAAATCACCTTGCGAGATAAGGTCCTCATTGCACACGCTGTTACAATTATGGTATAAATGTAATTATAAACAAATACTATTAATTGTATAAAAACGCAACACAGGGCCACTGATCACATAAAATAAAATATACCCTAGTTTCTTTAAAGTCATAGCATGCATCATCACAATACCTAACTCACTTATCAGACGACCATATTTATTACTTAGAATGACTTGACAATAATTTTTAATTGAATCCTAGAATTATATTGTCATTTAAACGTAACTCTATAATTCTTTTAGCACTTAATACATAGTAAAAATTCCATAATGACACATTGTTATACCTAGAAAACTCAGCACTAGTATTAATGAAGTTTACAATACAAAAAAAACTGATCCTTTATACCCGAGTCATAGCGCATTTTCGTGTGTACGTTTTAGAAAAAATGTTCAAACAATGAGTTACGTATGTACTTGATTGACATTAAGCTCACAATAAACCACTTCTAAATTTAAACTTCCAACAATCCTATTTTCTTCCTAAATGACCATATAATAAAAAAAAATCTATTACGTAACTTACTTACTTAAATGTATCATGAGATGAGATGGTTTGGTAGGGAAGCGATACCACTCGATCAGCAAGCCTATCTCTATTCAATTAATGTCCATTTTCCAATACTTGTTGCTTCTTTCTTTTGTATTTCATCGACAAAAGACCGTATTACTTTTCTACTTTTACTAAAGTAACCGTTTTTCTTATTCTTGCTATACCTACTCAAACAAACAAATTATATTAATTTGTTATATTAATTAATAAAGAGACCACAACATATATAGGTAATAGTCTAACTAATAAGAAAATATTAAGTGAGCCACTTTAACAAAATCGTATCTATTTAAGCAAAAAACAATCGATACTCCGTCAATATTGTCATCTATAATAGTTGCGCACAAGTGCTGCCATCTAGTTTTATTAAAGCACAACATAACAATCACATCCAGTACAATTTAAATCCTTGTAAAATTACTATTCATAATCGACGTTATAATACGAGTATCTATTGGCGGCTTAACGTTTAAGAATATTTAAAATAAGAACGACACAGGATATCAGGATATACATTTCCAACTAACGAAGAACTCTCATTGCACTAAAAGCTTAACATTTAGAGGTCAATTTATAATGGATATATAGTCCAATATGCCTTGGTGTTGATTGACAAAAGAATAATTAATGCACGCTTAATTTTAATGAAAAGGGCCTCATGATAATTATAATTATAATTAGTTTTATTAGTATTCATAAAATTATAATCCTGAAATGACTGTTTTAAATAAGGTTTAGTAGATCGCTTTTATTCGTTATTTATTACTTCCTTTCCATAGAATGAAAAGATGTTAACACGACTGTTATGAATTAAAGTAATTATATTGCGCTAGTAGGATTTAACATAACACAACCTGTTATGTTCCCGGAAGATGTAAGCAGACGTCATCTTACCCATGCCCACAATATTATCCATATGGCATTAAGTTCGCCTTATGTGCCATAAACAAATTATGTACTTTAAAGAATAAATAAATAAATATTACAAGTCCCTATAAAATAAATATATGGGTGATAAAGAAATATTTTTACATACACTGAATTTCATACATAACATCACACCTTTTATCTCCGAAGGGGTAGGCAGAGGTGCACATTACGGCACTTAATGCCACTGTTCAATGTAGCACCCAGTTTTCACTATTTATGTAATGAGTCCATTGCAATAAAGGGTGAGCCTACTGCCATACCGAGCAAATTTCCAGACACCGTCCTACTTCTAAATTTTTTTTAATAACCCAGTAATACTTTGCCCGGCCCGAAAAAAGAACCTGAGACCCCCTGCCCGACTGTCGCACTTGCGACCACTCGGCCAACGAGGCAGTCAAATAAAAATAAACATATGGGTGATTTCCGCATATTTTTGCATACACTGAATTTCATACATAACATCACACCTTTTATCTCCGAAGGGGTAGGCAGAGGTGCACATTACGGCACTTTATGCCACTGTACAATGTAGCACCCACTTTTCACTATTTATGTTATGAGTCCATTGTAATAGAGGGTGAGCCTATTGCCATATACCGAGCACATTTCCAGGCTCCGTGCTACGATTGAGAATTAAAAAAATGTATTCGACCCGGGAATCGCACTTGGCAGTAGCACTTTTTTTGAAATAGTGGGGAAATGAGCAGATGGATCACCTGATGGTAAGCGATCAGTTGATTGCGATGACTTGCGACCACTCGGACAACGAGGCAATGTAGGAAGCAGACTGAACGAATACGGAACCTGCTACACGTTGTGCAGTAGCCGCAATTTGGACCAAACGTT